TTGTGCTTCCTCTTCCCACTGTGAGCGAGTAAAGTGACAAAAGCTTAATGGGACAATATGAAATGATGTGAACATTTGTGTTTCTTCCTTCACATATGATTTGTTTTTCAAATGTCATTCTCCAGTCTACAGTACAGACCACACACACTCAGACTCCAGAATGAACACACTCACAGTTCATTCATCAGGTAGTAATACTCTGACAGGTAGCCAGGGAACCCAAGAACAGACACAGGTCAATGGGGAAAGAAAGATACTTATTACAGAAATGCTTCCAGGAATTTGACAGATCAGAACAGGATGAAGCAGGACAGAGCAGGAGACAGAGGCAGGTCGGAGTAGAAGGCCGGAGTAGGAGGCTGGAGTAGGAGGCTGGAGAAGGAGGCTGGAGTAGGAGGCTGGAGTAGGAGGCTGGAGTAGGAGTAGGAGGCTGGAGTAGGAGGCCGGAGTAGGAGACTGGAGTAGAGTAGGAGGCTGGAGTAGGAGGCTGGAGTAGGAGGCTGGAGTAGGAGGCTGGAGTAGAGTAGGAGGCTGGAGTAGGAGGCCGGAGTAGGAGACTGGAGTAGAGTAGGAGGCTGGAGTAGTAGTAGGAGGCTGGAGTAGGAGACTGGAGTAGAGGAGGCTGGAGTAGAGACTGGAGTAGAGTAGGAGGCTGGAGTAGAGTAGGAGGCTGGAGTAGGAGACTGGAGTAGAGTAGGAGACTGGAGTAGAGTAGGAGGCTGGAGTAGGAGACTGGAGTAGAGTAGGAGGCTGGAGTAGGAGACTGGAGTAGAGTAGGAGGCTGGAGTAGGAGACTGGAGTAGAGTAGGAGACTGGAGTAGAGTAGGAGGCTGGAGTAGAGTAGGAGGCTGGAGTAGGAGACTGGAGTAGAGTAGTAGGCTGGAGTAGGAGACTGGAGTAGAGTAGGAGGCTGGAGTAGGAGACTGGAGTAGAGAGTAGGAGGCTGGAGTAGGAGACTGGAGTAGAGTAGGAGACTGGAGTAGAGTAGGAGGCTGGAGTAGGAGGCCGGAGTAGGAGACTGGAGTAGAAGGCTGGAGTAGAGTAGGGGACTGGAGCAGGTTGGAGTAGGAGACTGGAGTAGGTTGGAGTAAGTAGGAGACTGGAGCAGGTTGGAGTAGGAGACTGGAGTAGGTTGGAGTAGGAGACTGGAGTAGGAGACTGGAGCAGGTTGGAGTAAGAGACTGGAGCAGGTTGGAGTAGGAGACTGGAGTAGGAGGTTGGAGAAGGTTGGAGTGGGAGACTGGAGCAGGTTGGAGTAGGAGACTGGAATAGGGAGATTGTAGGAGTATTATGATCTGGCAGCGCTGAGTTGTCTTGAGTCACTTTTCCAGCCTGTTGATGGCAGAGTGGCTCAGCTGAGGCTCGTGCACACCTGTCTCCTGAAACACACAGGGGGAGGGGAAGGAGGTGGGAGTGGCAGATGAGGTGGAGGTGCTTGAGGAGCTGTGACAAATACAGTCTGTCCAGTTCACACTCACCCAAAATATAAACGTGTTCAGGTTCAACACTGTTACTACAACATTCTATTTATATTGTGGGGAAAATATAGATTATTTAGTGATGTGGAGGTGTATTAGCTGTTACCATAACAACAACATACTGGATAAACATCAGTAAGATTTAATAGATGTTCCACAGACATTTTATTTATTGTGATTTTAGCCAAGTGTGATGGATGAATTTAACTAATTGTTTATGGAACAAACCGTTCTGCACTGGAGCTCTGTGACACTTTAGTTTGTAATTGTGTTTTTATACGTGTTTTTGCACATAATGTGGATGAATGAAATGTGAAATGTGGAACCTGCCACTCAAATCTGCAATGCAAATTTACCTACGGGTACGAATAAAGCAACCTAACCTATTACACTCTCATCACCAAGGAGTTACAAGTCAGATCTGCTGAGAGGCAAGCAGGTCATTTACCTGACTGCAGAGATGAGACTCTTGAGAATTTTACGGGTTTTATATAAAAGCTTCTTCCCTTCTAATGACACTTTGGCTACGTTCAGACTGCAGGGCTTAACGCTCAATTCCAATTTTTTTGTGAAATCCGAAGTTTTTTCGAGGTCGTTCACATTTCCAATTAAATGTGACTTGTATGTGATCCCCTGTGTGAACGTTAAACGGCCCTAAAGTGTCCCACATGAGCAATGGAGACACGACGACGTCAACCACAGTGAGCGTCTCTGTGTTTACAGAAGTTGTCCAAACATGGACGCAGCATCGAGCACCTGGAGATTTTAAAGTTCCTCTCGTACCGGAGCCAGAACATGAACAACTTACTTGTTTTAAGGAGGAGATTGAGAAGGAGAAGGACGAGGTTTTTGGTCGTGGTGTTTTGTGGGGCAGCGGCAGCGACGTCCGTTGAAAGGAACGTGTGGATGTGGAGACGGAGCCAAGAGTGGTGAGTGGTGATGTGCTTCACTTCAGTGACACAGAGTTCATTAACAATTTTCACCTACTTCAGCGCAGAATAGTGACGTTTGTGTCTTGTTGATAACGTGTAGGTGGATGAATGCGCCTTGGCCGTTCAGACTGAAGTCACATGTCAAAAGATCAGATATGTATCAGTTTCAGGAGCACATATCCAAGTGTCCTGGGTCACATTTGAAAAAATCGGATCTGTGTGGTTCAGACTGTCATTAAAAGATCAGATACACGTCATATAGAGGCCAAAAAATCAGGTTTGGGTCACTTCAGGCTGCAGTCTGAACGCTGCCTTTGATGTGATACTTTGCAGTGATATCACACTGGGGGGTTCTACATGTATCTCTAATGGTGGAATGCTTAGGAGTTACCATGGGGACACAACACACACATTAACAAACACAGACACAAAGTTTTAAGATTTTGTACAATACATGCTGTTTAATAAATGCAAGAGAGAACCCTGTGGTGACAAGAGGGTCATTACCAAAAAAAGTTACACAATACACCTTTAAAGATCTTTCACTTTCATTTATTTGTTTATTTATTTAAATTCCAAAAACACTGAACACATGCGGGTCTTGAAAAGCACAGATGACAGATGTTTTTACTACGAGTCAGATCGAAATCACAGATACACAGATACAGGCCACCAGTAAAACCCCACTGTGGCAGAGTGGTTAGCCTGCCTCCTCCCTTCAGTGAGGAGGTTGTGGGTTAGACTCCAGGTGGGGTGTGAGATGGGATGTGGAGCGTGTGTGATCTTGAAGGAGCATTTTTGTGGAGGAGGAAGGAGAGGAAATAGTTTATCTGAAGACAGAATTAAACTCCGTCCCTCTGTCTAAACCTGCTCATGGTGGTATTTCTCTGCTGATGTGTTTCTATGGTGGCATGTTCAGCCGTTACCATGGTGACAAAGTGCACACATTAACCACAACTACCAAAAATGTGTTTAGATGGTCTGAAAACTCAAGAAAAAATATAAAATGTGTTTAAACGGCACATTTTCAGGAGTCTGTGATCAGTCCGAGCGTTCTTAAGTCCTCTTAAGAATTTGATTTTCAACTAAAAGATGAGAGTGACTTTAAAATCATCTCATCTGTTGTAGTTTCAGCTGAATAGACTTTAAGACAAAAGGTAAATACATTTGAGGAGCTAAAGCCAAACACATATTGAGAAGGTTCAACATCTGTGCGTCATACGTTTGTAGATTTCTTTCAAAAACAGCAGAGTTCTATAGGCCCCTGCTCTCTGCACTACACTTATGGATGACGGAAATATCCGCTTAAATCTGTGACTATTGTTTTTATCGACTGCCCCCCGTCTCAAACAGGAAGTGACACAATGGACCTGCTTTAACTGCATAGGAAATACTAAACAATGTACAAGTACTGTAAGAATACTGTACAGATGACATCATAACCTCCTATATCCCTGTGTGCCAGATGCCCTCCCATACTTCTACATCCCTGTGTATAAGGCTGCATTCAGACTGCAGCCTGAAGTGACCCAAATCTGATTTTTTGGCCTCTATGTTCCTGTATCTGATCTTTTAATGACAGTCTGAACGACACAGATCCAATTTTTTCAAATGTGACCCAGGACACTTGGATATGTGCTCCTGAAACTGATACATATCTGATCTTTAACATGTGACTTCAGTCTGAACGGCCAAAGTGCATTCATCCACCTACACGTTATCAACAAGCCACAAACGTCACTATTCTGCGCTGAAGTAGGTGAAAATTGTTAATGAACTCCATGTCACTGAAGTGAAGCACATCACCACTCACCACTCTTGGCTCCGTCTCCACATCCACATGTTCCTTTCAACGGACGTCGCTGCCGCTGCCCCACAAAACACCACAACCAAAAACCTCGTCCTTCTCAATCTCCTCCTTAAAACAAGTAAGTTGTTCATGTTCTGGATCCGGTACGAGAGGAACTTTAAAATCTCCAGGTGCTCGATGCTGCGTCCATGTTTGGACAACTTCTGTAAACACAGAGACGCTCACTGAGGTTGACGTCGTCGTGTCTCCAGTGTCACATGTGGGACACTTTTGGGCCATTTAATGTTCACACTGGAGTCACATACAAGTCACATTTAATTGGAAATGTGAACGACCTCACAAAAACATCGGATTTCACAACAAAAATCGGAATTTAGCGTTAAGTCCTGCAGTCTGAACGTAGCCTTAGATGCCCTCCTGACCCAGATAGTCCTGGGCGCAGGTATACAGCTATATACTCCTGAAGTTAGGGTAACTTTATTATTAATCCTTTGAGAGGGAAACCTGAAGTGTCTCTGGGTTAAACCTGACAGAAGCAGTGGGAGCTGGAGGACAGAACACTGATTGCAAACTTTGTGGAGTGGTCCCAGACAAACTATTGGCTCCTGAACATTGACCAGACCAGCTGGTGATTGACTTCAGGAGGAAGAGGACACCAGTAGAGCCCGTCAATATCCAGGGGCATGAGGTGGAAATAGTGACTGCTACAAGTAACATGGCGTCCAGGTGAACAACAGGCTGGACTAGAGGGACAACTGTAATGCTGTGTACAAGAAGAGAATGAGGAGACTCAACTTCCTGAGAAAGCTCAGGTCTTTCAATGTGTGCAGCAAGTTCTTGGAGATCTTCTTCCAGTCTGTGGAGACCCTTGGACTTGGCTGTGCTCTGCTGGGGGAGCAGCTCCAGGAAAAGAAACATGGGCCGATCCACAAACTGATCCATAAAACTGCTCACGTGATCGACTGTGAGCTGGAGACATTTATCACAGTGAGAGACACAAGGACACTGGACAAACTGCTCTTCATCATGGACACTCCTCCTCACCCACTGCACCAGACTATAGAGGGACAGATAATACTCCCTACAAATGTACAGCTCCTCACCCTTATATAACTGATAATACTCCCTACAACTGTACAACACTTAACCATCTGTTCTGTCAATCATCAGATCATTGTTGCACTTTCTCTTGTATAAAGCTGAGATTTTATATTTTATGTCTTATGTTTCTATTTTATTTTGACTTGTACAATTACATAATTCTGCTTTATTTGACACTTGTCTCTTGCTATATTTTGCTATTTATATAAAATGTATTATTATCATTTAATTTTTTACTCTTTGTTATTATATTTATTGTGATGTGTGAGCTCCCGTGTCCAAGTCATTTCCCTTGTGGATCAATCAAAGTTTGTCAAAGTTTGTCTAAATCTAAGGAGCCACCTCTAGATGTTGAGCTAGTCTCACATGTAAACTGCACACAGAAAGACCCGGGAGTCAAACCCAGAACCTTCTTGCTGTGAAGTGCCTCGACTTGACCAGAACCCTGCTCAGATCTGGTCCACTGCTCCTGACAGGTTTAACTCAGAGACACTGAAGGACAGAGCAGCTTCAGCAGGTCACAGACAGGTGCAGACAGGTGCAGACAGGAGCAAACAGGAGCAGACAGGTGCAGACAGGAGCAAACCTCAGCTCCTGTGTAACTGATACAGGGATCAGAAGTGGCCAGAGGAGCAGACCAGGGTCCATTAGGAGCAGGTTTTTCAGGTGAAATGAGGCGTGACCTTCAGAGAGACAGGAGCCTCCGTGACCTCTGACCTCTGAACCCCTGTGACCTGAGATGTCCTGAGAGCGCAGAGTTTACACAAGAGACACTTCACACCTCCTCAGTCTCTATCTCACCTTCATCTTTCTATCGCTCATTCCTATCACTCTCTCCAGCCTCTCATCTCTCCTCATCTCTCCTCCCCCTTCCTCCCTCTCTTCCTCCTCCCCCTTCCTCCCTCTCTTCCTCCCTCTCTCCCTCTCTTCTTCAGACTGATGTGTTTGAAACTCAATGTACCAGAGCCAATGAGTCAATGGGAAACTCCCGTGTGAAAAGGACCATCACTTTACCTCCAGAAAACCAGGAAAAGTCCGTCAATGCTTCTTTAGCCGCATAAAAAGTCACTGTTACCAGCAGAAGGCGCATGGATTAGAAGAAGATGAGGAGGCCGACAGTACCTGAGTGGTGTTTTCTGTTTGCGTGTTCTCCCCATCAACCCAAAAACATGCAGAACAGGTTGAATCCTCCACCTTAAGACAGTCCTGACCAAGACCAGCTCAAGATGTGGAGATGGTCCCTCTGCTCTTGACAGGTTTAACCCATAGACACAGAAGAACGGGTCAAATGCAGCAAATGAACATTACAGGATATGAGGACTGCTCTCTTTCTGCATCACTGTAGGTCTCTGTTCCATGTTATAACATTGTTTCCTCATCAAAAACCTGCCTGAAGAGGTTTTAGAGTCATCCATGAGAAGAGAGAATTTCTTGTACAAGTCATTGTTAAATGTGCATTTGTGCTTCAGCATGTTGCAGACTGACTTTGTATCTGCTCGCTCCGGCTGAGTGCACAGACGCTACGAGAGACACTCAGTTTAATGGCCCAATGAAAGGAAATGAAAACACGGACATTTACATCACTTAAAAAAACAAAAAAACAAACCCGGACTCAAAAAATAGGATAGATCCTATTTTCTGAAATCTATGTGAGCAGGACGTGCTGCTCTATATGTGCATCTGGCAGTGGAGCCGCCCTCATTCACTTTCCATGCATTCTAAAAGTTACGCATCCAAAAGTTGCAGTTTTTACGCTCACGTAGGGCGAAATACGTGTGCCAGGCCCTTAGGACCTGGCTCCACTGCATGACTAAACGCGCCCAGTCAAGTTTGATCGTCTTTCCCATTGACAAACACAGAGCCAGTGCTGCGCGTGTACATCCTGCTGCAGCTGCCGGTGGAGCCGCCTTTGCGTTGACACACAGCTGTGGTTTCGTGAGGCAATGACAAGGGTGCATCCTCCATGTCCAGGCGGTCCTCTTCTCACGTGACGCCCAGTACCCACCCTCCACACCTCTTCTTCTGCGCCAAAGAAAAACAGGTCATATACGAGCACAAGAATATACTGCACAAGCTGAGAACCGTGGAAACAGCTCAGTACACACACGTCCCGAACCATGACAAGTGAACCAAACGGGTCGCTTTTTTTTTCATGAACCATGCCACCCCTAGTCTCAACACACTTTATAAATCTCCTCGTTTGGAAGCAGAGTGAAGCAGAGTGAAGCAGAGTGAGGCTTGAACACTCAAAGATCAGACACAGACTAAGTATGTTTCATGTTAGAAGTTAATTCCCCATAACAATAAAACAGTTCTTCTTAAAGCAGCCTGGAAAAAGTTAAGGTTAGGGTAAAGACATTATCAGTCACTAGCAATCCAATCTAAATCTGCGCATCCCTGCTAACTTGTAAAACAACAAAATGTCAGTTTCAATAAGGTTAACAACAATAGGATTCATAGTTCCAAATGTAGAAATGCAGTTATAATTAGAGCATTATGTAAACGTAATGAATAAACTGGAGTTTCCTGTGTGATTGTTGAAGACCAGGGCCTCTCTTCTGAACGTTTCCTCACGCTCTGACTCATGCGGCTCCTGGTTCTATTGTGCTGGGGCCGGAGCAGAGGATGCTGGGAAAGCGGGAGAGTTTTCCGGGGAATTCCGCAGCGTTCCTCCAGGAGCAGCTCTGAGCGAGAGAATGAATGAAGCTATTTACAAACCAAGACTTTGAACTCAGACTGAGGGAAGTCCAGGACATGAGACAATGCTCCTGGTTTAGTCCTGCTTTAGTCCTGGTTTAGGCCTGGTTTAGGCCTGGTTTAGTCCTGGTTTAATCTTGGTTTAATCCTGGTTTAATCTTGGTTTAGTCCTGGTTTAGTCCCAGTTTAATCTTGGTTTAATCCTGGTTTAGTCCTGGTTTAGTCCTGGTTTAATCTTGGTTTAATCCTGGTTTAGTCCTGGTTTAGTCCTGGTTTAGTCCCAGATTAACCCTGGTTTAGTCCTGTTTAGTCCCGGTTTAATCCTGGTTTAGTCCTGGTTTAGTCCCGGTTTAATCCTGGTTTAGTCCTGGTTTAGGCCTGGTTTAGTCCCAGATTAACCCTGGTTTAATCCTGGTTTAGTCTTGGTTTAATCCTGTTTTAATCTTGGTTCAATCCTGGTTCAGTCCTGGTTTAGTTCTGGTTTAATCCTGTTTTAATGCTTTTTTAATCCTGGTTCAGTCCTGGTTTAGTCCTGTTTTAATCCTGGTCTAATTTTAGTCTTGGTTTTAAATCTGCATAAAGCATAAGAGGAAGAGGAGTGAGAAAGAAGAGAAAGAGAGATACGAGAGAGGAAAGAGGAGGAGGGTTTGATGGGACAGTGTTAATGACAAAGGCCAGAGGGACACGTGTCTCCACATGTCCATCGTCCTGCACCAGCCCTTATGTCCAACACAGTCTCACACAGAGGAACATGAGGAGCAGCAGTAGTAGTAGTAGTAGTAGTAGTAGTAGTAGTAGTAGTAGTAGTAGTCATTTGGCAGCACTACAAAACAAAACATAGACGACAACCCCATCGATCATGACCGAAAGTGTTTAGGCTGAAGTAAAAGTTCAAATGCCAAACCTGATTAAACAACGACAGAATTCCAAAAAAGAAAACAGCGTATGAACAGCAAGTTTGCATTTACAATTTCACTTACAACTTATTGTATTTATAAGAGACTAAATATAAATTAAAACTAACAAAATGTAATGCATAATTCATTCCAGAGCTCTAGATCTTTTAAAGTCTTCTACAGTGTTTGATTTTATTTTTAAATCATCACTCAGATTGTTCCACACACTCACCGCTCCTACACAAATACAATCCCTTTTTTTTTTTTTTACTTCTTATCTTTATTATTTTGTAAAGATGCAATTTTTTTTCGTAATTTATTGTCATACAAACTAATACTAATGTTAATAAAGGCACAAAAGTTTATTGTTTATGATCGTACAAAATAAACCACAATGAGAATGAAAAAATGTAGGGATTTTTTGTTTTCATTTATGGTTGTACAAACTAATAGTACATAGTGAATATAAACTGATGGTGAACATGATCAAAATAAAAGGTCATGTTAAAGAAAAGCATATGTTAGTTAATCATTGTGGGTTAATTGTGAAGACAGTGGATCTAGTCTTTTAGGTATTTCTGTCAGATTTGATTATTATATAGATTTTTGAAGTGCACCAAGTTAGTACAAGTTTAACTGTTCTATAAGTCTACTCCACGTCTGTAACACACTTTGCTTTTGAGAGAGGTAGAATTGTTTTCTTTAATTTCATTTGACCTCTCAGGTTGTATTTAGATTCATTTGTTGCTTTAAAATAAGATTCAGCATGTTTTAAATTTTACCAGGTCCCCAAATGTCAGTATTTTTGATACAGAAAGTGCATTTATATGTTCTCTATGTCTGACGATGTGAACTATTCATATTGCTTTTTTTTTTGTAATTTAAACAATACGTCTGTGTTACTTTATGAGAATTTCCCCAGATTTCTACACAGAAACTTCAGTGGTGTAAGATAAGAGTACAGCAGACTGTATACAGGGCTTTCTTATTGAGTAGAAATAAACATGAGGCGTAAAGTATGAAGTACAGAACTCAGGGTTCCACTCTTTTTCACTGACAAAATTTCAAAACTTTTCCATGACTTTTTCATGACCTAAAGTGAATTTTCCATGACTTTACGGCACCTACATGTGCAGAATTGATCAGACTTTCAGGACTAAGTCTGAAATGTGAACTCTTTCCACTGGTATTATAGTTTTGAACATTCTAAACCCTGTCAATGCATTTATTGTCGTCTCTTTTAAACAAAAGGCGCAGACGTTCACAAATAATCTGAACAGCCTCATGAGAATGCAACAGAACACTGGAGCTGTGTGAAAGAAATACTCAAAATACGTGACTTTTCCAAAACTTTCATTGCATTTACAAAATTCCATAAGTTTTCCAGGCCTGGAAATGACATTTTCAGTTTCCGTGACTTTTCCAGGATTTCCATGACTGTAGGAACCCTGAGAACTGTCTCACCTCACAGCGAGAGGGTCCTGGTTTGACCCCTGCCCCCTGCTGGTGCTTCAGTTTCTCCATAACTTCAAACACACACAGTGAGTTTAAAGAGCTCATATCATTCTGTTTTCTGATCTATGTTATAAAGTTGTTTCCTCACCACAAACACACCTGGAGTTTTGTGTGTTTCATTCACACGTTTCATATTTGGGCTGAGTTCTTCTGAAGGGAAACACGACTCCAGGTCTGATTTTGAGGAGCTAACAACATGAGAACAAGGTTGAAAGTTCACAAAAGCACCAGCCATGAACTCTGCATCAAGAACTTAAAGATTAGAAGTCAAATCCCACGCTGCCATTGTATCCTCGGGCAAGTCACTTCACGCACCTTGTCAGTATGCAACTTTCTGGTGGTTTCGCATCACCTGCGTGATTCCATGGAATTAAAAAGCTCAAAGCATACTTCAGAACATTCTCCATCAAGAAGTGTGATGCCATACTGTGGAATATTACAGCACGAACATTTCCTTGGAGACAAGCTGGAGGAGGCCAAGGTCCGAGTCAGGTTTGTGGAGGAGCAAGCCCACTCACAGTAAGAACACATGCTGCAAAGAAAAATGCTTTTATTTGAGTCAATGTCTTGTGTGAAAAAATACACACTGTAGCTTCAAACCCCAGCGTGGAAACTGGAGGCAAGTTGGGTGAAGTGTCTTGCTCAAGAGTACAATCAGAGTAAAAAGAGGAGGAGGGGGGGGGGGGGGGGTCTCTTCAAAGCTCCCTGTGTTTGCCCTCTCTCCTCACACTGTCATTGAGACTCTTTATTTATAGACACAGACCATTACTGCAGCAGCCGGTGCATTCCCACAGGATTTATGCCTCCCTCCTCCTCCCCCCATCACCCCCCCACTCACCCACCCCCAACTCACCCCCTCACCCCCCACGACTCACCCCTCCAGCGCTGGGTTTAGGCCTGTCACTCTAACACATCTTGAAGCGTGATCTATTGCTGATTTGAATATAGAAAACAAACCATAAAGCAGAATTATCCCCCCAAAAAACAAATCTAAATGTGCAAAATTGTTATTTAAACTTCTACAGCTCAGATCTCATCGTAGTGCAGAAAAAGAACCAAACTTTTCCCATTAGTGCAAAGAAAAAGTCCCCATGATAAATACTGACGCCCCAAAACATGATTGTTCCATTTCAAATACACTGAATGAGAAGTCAACATAGTTAGAGTGACCAGATTTTCCCAAATATAAATCGGATCAGTCGTGGTTGGTCATAATAAAATTGTAAAACAAGTGCGTAATTAAAGAAAGTTGTTTTGCATTTGGACCATTCATGATTTATTCACGATAACATGAGTCAGTGTAGTCAGATTTTTTTTGTGTTTTCTGTAATTTTACTTAAACAAAAACCTAAAACAAAACAACCTAGACAGTTTATGCTTTTCTTTACTGTTGGCAGGATGAGACTGGTCAAAAATAGGGACACCTGGAACATTACTTGTATAAAACTGGGACACATCAACTGGTTTTGTATAAATCCACTGGGACAGAAGACTCAAAACTGGGACTGTCCTGGATAAACAGGGACGTCTAATCACTCTAGATATAATACTCATCGTGACAGGCCTCAGCTGGGTTTCAGTTATATTTACTCAAGTACTTTATAATAATATTTGACTCTCCGTGTAGTAGATTACACTTTATACTGACTAAACCTTAAAGTCTATGGAATTAACAGGAGTCAAATAGTTCAAAGAATGCATCAAGCAAAAAAAATACACATCAAAATATATATAAAAAAATAATATTAATAAAGTATATAAGATTGCAATCAAATGATTTGTGTGACTGTGTAAAATATCCATCTTTGCCTCTTTGCCTCCACGTCTTTCTCAGTTTTGTTTGAGACTGTTTTTTGTTTTTGTTGAGTAAAAAGCTTTCAGAAATATTCATGTGCATAGAATAGAAATGTGTGAAGAACACAGACGAGAGAGCAGCAGTGGACCTCAGTCTGCTGTACATCTCCACTCCTTTGAGGACAGTGAGGTACAGATCTTAGCCAGAGAAAATAAATGATTTGAGAGGGGAGTGAAAGAAGCCATTTTTGTTAAGAAAGAGAATCCTTCTCTAAACACAAATGAAGGACTCAGACACACCATCCATCTTCTATTTACAACTCCATCCTCAAACCTAAATCAAAACAAACAAGAACAACAGGTGTATCCAGGTCAGGTCCAGAGGTGTGGAAGCTCCATTATGGCCCTGAATTGTTCTGTTAATTAGACCCCACCCCCTGTACAGGTCAACAGGCCGAACTAACAAACACAAACTGTAAACAAGTGTGTGTGTTAGTTTCAGTGTAGTTAGCTCCTCCTGCAGATATAAGGAAGTGTCCACCAGCGTCTGACCACAACTGAAGAAGCAGCTTGGATGAGCTGCGAAACATCTTTAGCCAAACTAACTTTATCCAGTCGACAAACTGAATTTTCTCCTCACCACAGAATTAGAAATCCATGGGTATTTTGGAAATCTGTGCATATTTTGGAAATCCATGCATATTTGTCTGCAGTTGCGCATAAAATAAATATTCGTAAATTTATAAAATTTTATGGGCAACTACAGCCAAATATGCAGAGATTTCCAAAATACACATGGATTTCTATTCTATGCGCACAAATATTTCTGAAAGCTTTCTACTCTATATTTTTGTTTCAGATTCCAGTTCTTGTTTGTGCTCTGACTTTCTGGTTGCAGTTTTGGCACAAGCGTGACAGGTGAGTGGGATTTTCATGGCTGCGTTCCCATTGGCTCTTTTATGTTTGACAGACAGCTGAGCTTGGAGCTCGTGATGCTGTTGTGGATGTTTCCTGTTGTAGTTTTGGTGCTCAGAGATTTTCTAATATTCAACATTCTCTGGTGGACGCTTCTTCTGGAACAAAATTATTCTACACAGTGTTAGTACTGCACAAACGTGTCTGTGTTGTAGTCGCCAAAACTTCAGCAGGAAACATCCACAACAACTTCAGGAGCTCCAAGTTCAGCTGTCCGTCAAACATAAATGACCCAATGGGAATGAACCCATGAAAATCCCGCCCACCTGTCACATTTGTGCCAAAACTGCAACCAGAAAGTCAGAGAGCACAAACAAGAAGACTGCACCAGAACCAAAGATAAACAACATCAGACAAAACAGAGAAAGACGTGGAGGCAAAGAGGCAAAGACAGATATTTTACACAGTTACACAAATCATTTGATTGCAATCTTATATTATCTTATATAATCTTGTCTTGTTTTATCTAATCTAATCTTTGTGGCAAAACTGCAACCAAAAAGTCCAGGAGCACAAACGAGCAGACTGGAGTCAGAACCAAAGAAAACAGCATCATACAAAAGAATGTGGAACAAAAAAAAAGTTTCCAAAGAGGCAAAGACAAATATTTTACACAAATCATCTGATTGCAAATGTATTTATTTATTTTATTGTACTTTTTTTGTTTGATTCTTTTTATTTGGTATTTTGATGTATACTTTTTTGCTTGATGTTTTAAAAGTGTTATTTGAACTATTTGACTCCAAATTAATTCAATTCAAATTCAAGTCTATGATTTTGACTTTGTGTTAAAGCTGCACTGCACAAATGTTCTGGTGGAAGGTCTGTTATGCTTGTCTCCATGGAGATGTTTTTGTATTGCCTGGAATGTTCCACAGTATGACATTAAAGGTTGTATAGAGGATTTTTTAAGGTAAGTGAAATACAGCGACAGTCCTTTTTCAAATGTTGTTCATGCCTGACACCACCTCCCTCCTCCACAGCTCCTCAGTAGAAACATCTCCTCCCGCCTCTTTACTCTCGAAATCACACTTGTTTACATCCAGTGCGCGTTCAGAATTACTGTTGAAGTGACCTAGAAATATTTTAGTGACCGACGCGTCAGTTTTTAAACCCTTTGTCTGCTTCATTCACACCATCGCTGGAAGGAATCTCCAAGAATCACCTCAGTTTGTCTTCGCTCCATTTCTCCTTCTCTTCTTCTTTCAGTGACCTCAAAAACGGACTTTCTTTTGCGGTGAACTGGTCGTGGATTCTCGTCCGCCATCGCAACAAACTTTGTGCGAATTGTGAGGAAGCTACAGTTTGAAAAAGCCTCTAAGAACCACTGCATAAACCACATAATCCCCGAGCGCCGGCGAGTCAGTTACACATAGGGAGTTTGATTGACAACCTAACAGCCAATAGAAAATGAGGCAGCCTTGTTATCTATTGGCTGATGTTTATCTGGCGTCACTACGTCCACAGTTGATAGATTTTCATTCTTTTTTTTTTTTTGGTCATCATAATTACAAGGCTGCTGCATCTCTAATGGTATTTGAAACTTTCATTGGCAATTTGAAACAAAATAAAATCCTCCACACAAACCTTTAAACACATTTTTCTATCATTTATTCATCACAGGTGTTTCTATTGCTCAGAAATACAATAGATTTGTCTGTGAATAGAGCGACTCTCCACAGATCTGACTTGTAGTACAGTGTTGTAACTGCTTGTCTCCCTCGTGACAGAGACAAAGCAACAACATTTCCATGGAGACACTAGAAATGTTACATTGTGCACCTTTAACTTGAAATTATACCTCAGATGTTCCACCCTGACAGTTACTCTTGAAGTTACTCTTACTCGAGTACCCTGACAGAGTATTGTAGTCTTTGTTGGTCAGGTCTTTGTAGTCGTGCTTGTGTAATATTAGAACCCCCCCCCCCCCCCCCCGTCACATAACTGCCCCCGTCCAGAACAATTGCCCCAACATCACAGCTATGCTAATCCACGCTAACTCCTCTGGTACCATTAGCATAGCTCACAGTCCACATGCCACACACAACTATGACTTTAGACGCACAATAGAACACAACTATGTGACTTCAGACGCACAATAGAACACAACTATGTGACTTCAGACGACAATAGAACACAATGTGACTTTAGACGCACAATAGACACATATGACTTTAGACGCACAATAGAAACACAACTATGTGACTTCAGACGCACAATAGAACACAACTATGTGACTTCAGACGCACAATAGAACACAACTATGTGACTTCAGACGCACAATAGAACACAACTATGTGACTTTAGACGCACAATAGAACACAACTATGTGACTTTAGAACGCACAATAGAAACACAACTATGTGACTTCAGACGCACAATAGAACACAACTATGTGACTTCAGACGCACAATAGAACACAACTATGTGACTTTAGACCACAATAGAACAACATATGTGACTTTAGACGAACAATAGAACACAACTATGTGACTTTAGACGCACAATAGAACACAACTATGTGACTTTAGACGCACAATAGAACACAACTATGTGACTTAGACGCACAATAGAACACAACTATGTGACTTCAGACGCACAATAGAACACAACTATGTGACTTTAGACGCACAATAGAACACAACTATGTGACTTTAGACGCACAATAGAACACAACTATGTGACTTTAGACGCACAATAGAACACAACTATGTGACTTTAGACGCACAATAGAACACAACTATGTGACTTCAGACGCACAATAGAACACAACTATGTGACTTCAGACGCACAATAGAACACAACTATGTGACTTTAGACGCACAACAGAACACAACTATGTGACTTCAGACGCACAATAGAACACAACTATGTGACTTTAGACGCACAATAGAACACAACTATGTGACTTTAGACGCACAATAGAACACAACTATGTGACTTCAGACGCACAATAGAACACAACTATGTGACTTTAGACGCACAATAGAACACAACTATGTGACTAGTGACATGTGAGACGCACAATAGACATAGAAACACAATGTGACTTTAGACGCACAATAGAACACAACTATGTGACTTCAGACGCACAATAGAACACAACTATGTGACTTCAGACGCACAATAGAACACAACTATGTGACTTTAGACGCACAAATAGAACACAACTATGTGACTTCAGACGCACAATAGAACACAACTATGTGACTTTCACAATAGAACACAACTATGTGACTAGAACACACAATAGAACACACTATGTGACTTTAGACGCACAATAGAACACAACTATGTGACTTTAGACGCACATAGAACACAACTATGTGACTTCAGACGCACAATAGAACACTATGTGACTTCAGACGCACAATAGAACACAACTATGTGACTTTAGACGCACCAATAGAACACAACTATGTGACTTTAGACGCACAATAGAACACAACTATGTGACTTTAGACGCACAATAGAACACACTATGTGACTTTAGACGCACAATAGAACACACTATGTGACTTTAGACGCACAATAGAACACACTATGTGACTTTAGACGCACAATAGAACACAACTATGTGACTTCAGACGCACAATAGAACACACTATGTGACTTTAGACGCACAATAGAACACACTATGTGACTTCAGACGCACAATAGAACACAACTATGTGACTTCAGACGCACAATAGAACACAACTATGTGACTTCAGACGCACAATAGAACACAACTATGTGACTTCAGACGCACAATAGAACACAACTATGTGACTTTAGACGCACAATAGAACACAACTATGTGACTTCAGACGCACAATAGAACACAACTATGTGACTTCAGACGCACAATAGAACACAACTATGTGACTTCAGACGCACAATTAGAACACAAACTATGTGACTTTAGACGCACAATAGAACACACTATGTGACTTTAGACGCACAATAGAACACACTATGTGACTTTAGACGCACAATAGAACACAACTATGTGACTTTAGACGCACAATAGAACACAACTATGTGACTTTAGACGCACAATAGAACACACTATGTGACTTTAGACGCACAATAGAACACACTATGTGACTTCAGACGCACAATAGAACACAACTATGTGACTTCAGACGCACAATAGAACACACTATGTGACTTCAGACGCACAATAGAACACAACTATGTGACTTTAGACGCACAATAGAACACAACTATGTGACTTCAGACGCACAATAGAACACAACTATGTGACTTTAGACGCACAATAGAACACAACTATGTGACTTCAGACGCACAATAGAACACAACTATGTGACTTTAGACGCACAATAGAACACAACTATGTGACTTCAGACGCACAATAGAACACACTATGTGACTTCAGACGCACAACAGAACACACTATGTGACTTCAGACGCACAACAGAACACACTATGTGGACTTAGACGCACAATAGAACACACTAAAGGGAACTGTCTATCGCTGAGTGAATTTTATTATTAGTGTTTGTTTACTAAAAAGATTTATGCAAAGTAGGGTTGCAAACTCCCTGAAAAATAAATAAGGGACACCTCATTGGCAGGGCCGGTGTACTGTCAATTTGAGCTACCCGTCGATTTGAGCTACATAGCACTACTGCGCATGTGCACACCCCCCCCAAGTGCTGTTTCATTGTAAATGCCGTCGATTTGAACTTCCGAGGCAGAAGTGGAGTAACAAGTCACATTTTAAAGTGTATTGGTTTTCTTGTATGTTTTGCCCAGTTAAGCGTGTAAACATGTGCATGTTCGATTTGCGGCAGAATACCTACGTTAGGCTGCAGGTAGCTCATTTCGATGGGGCAGCCCATTTCAACAGAACACTGTAAAGCACTGTTGGCACCACTGTCGTCCATGCTGCTTTGTTACAGAGTTGAACCCTCAGAGCCTTCAAGGTTTTATAAATA